TAGACAGACAGACAGACAGACAGACAGACAGACAGACAGACAGACAGACGGACGACAGACGCAGGACGCAGTTATATATTTTGTTTTCAATAATATTAGAAAATCAGAACCTACCTAACGTTATTCCGTGTTTTTTAAGTTCATCTCGTAACAGTTCAATTTCATTCTCTTGAACAGTACAATATTGCCGAAATTTCTCCAACTCTTGCTCAAGTTCTGAACATTTTCTTCTCTGAGCTGCAAGTTTCTTCTCATTTTGATTTTTTACAGAGATGAGAACACCTAAGAATGAGAAATGATGGAGAATTTACATAATAATATGATAGTAAAATATATTAAATGATACATGTGCACTCCATGCACATACAGTCTGGTGCATTCAAATGTAACCGCAATGAACAGACTGGTCTTACATGCAATTCGATCAGAGATGCACTTCTAGATCGATGAGGAAAGGCAGTACTGGTACGACTATTCAATACGTACTACTAATGCTGTACCTTCATGTTTGAAAAAATTGTCTCACATGCAATACAGTTGCAGCCGTGTCTAAATATTATTTTTATAACATTGCTATCAGTCTGCCATATATGAACCAATACATTTACTAAAGCAACACTGTAGTCAGAACTGAGCATGTGCATGACTATGAATGTTCACAAAGCAACCAGTTTTTAGAGTTCGCTAAAAATCAGTTTCGCATTTACAAACAAGTTACAAAATATTAAAATTAGAATCACGCTTGGTCATAGTTGAATGATTTTTTGTGCGTAATAGTGCATAAAATGTTAATAAAGACAACAGAAGAGTTGAATTCTCACTTGCAGTTCTGACGATAACGCGCATCTCTAAGCTACAATGTATCAAGGTTCATGACAAAGTGCTGATTATATATCTTCATCATAAGTCGGCCATTTTGAATTGGATTGTCGTATAAATGGTGATTACTATATCCGTGGCCACTCTACTATTAAACTCCTAGATACAATGCTAGTAATATCACACACTTATGCGATGTCTCTTTGTTCATTGGTCAATTTGACACATAATATTCAGCCAATTGACAGTATCTAGAACAATGGGCAATCAAATCAATATAGAGGACCCCAATTACCAGCATTACCAGTGTCGGTGATTGAAACGAAAAAAAATAATTGTTTGTGTAGAGTTGTTAGCAATATTGTTAGCATCTGTGATGTTTTCTGGTTTCTTTGAGATGAACAACACAGATACTTTTAATATCACTCCCTCTTGTTTACAGGAAGGGTCATGTGATCTACAAACCTGCCCAATTAAATCTCAGGAAATCATAATAAGCCAAATATATTAGGATTGATTTACTAATAATGGAAATTATGTCCGAACGCGTAATATTAGCATATGAAACATATATAGCCAAACAATGTATGCTGACGATAATGATGTACGAAAATATGCATTATTTCATTGTAATTATTATCGTGTCCCTGTGACACTAGAAATTTAATATAATTCACTGAATATAATCACTGTCAATTTAATTGCTTATCGTCAGTGACTCATATTTCATGATTAAAAACATGCCGTAAAGCTTAGTGACATAATTCTATTAATGCTATAGAATCAGAAAACGTTACGAATAAACAACCTGCAAGCACTGTGAGTGGCATGTGAAGAAAAATTATTATTAAACTGCATAACGTATCAACTTTAAGTACAGTAATTCGCTTGCATTGATGTAAACACGTTGACATAATTTACAAAAATTCGGTTTGCACACTGCCAACATGCTAACGTAAATGACGGAGGTGTCTGTGGTCAAAATAAGTATCCAGCATGATCCACATAATAATGATCCAGCATGTAATAAGAATGCAACGTTTGGTTTGTATACTTCTATGACAGATGCACTTATAATAGAGCTAATACGATTTGTCTAACTACCGTAATAAGCAATGCCCAAGGTATTTTTTACGTTATTTAACACAAAGCCCCAAATGAAATAGTTAACACCACACTACCGTACTACAGCAGTGATGTTGGATAATGATGTATTTATCTAGACTCTCACTGAATTCATCAATCAATCAAATGGAGATAATACAGGGCATTATCCCATTGCTCAGAGCACTGATCTAATAATTGATAAAGATTGATTTACGATTGATTCAGTTTTTATGACTTATTGGCACACAATGCATCATAATGTCAGTTTTACAATTACACATTTTATTTTCATTAATTTCGCAAGTTAAGGGTTAAATTGTAAAATTTTGTAATGGTGAAAACCCTTATTCTGACAGTCGCATGTACTTTTACATTGACTTGTCCAGACTTTCACTTGGGTTCTAGGGAGTCACAACCTTTTACTGGGTCCTAGGGAGTCACAAAGACTTTTACTGGGTCCTAAGGAATCACAACCTTTTACTGGGTCCTAGGGAGTCACAAAGACTTTTACTGGGTCCTAAGAAATCACAGTGACTTTCACTGGGTTCTAGGGAGACACAGAGACTTTCACTGGGTCCTAGGGAGTCACAGTGACTTTTACTGGGTCCTAGAGAGTCACAGAGACTTTTACTGGGTCCTAGGGAGTCACAGAGACTTTTACTGGGTCCTAAGGAATCACAGTGACTTTCACTGGGTCCTAAGGAATCACAGCGACTTTTACTGGGTCCTAGGGAGTCACAGAGACATTTACTGGGTCCTAAGGAATCACAGTGACTTTTACTGGGTCCTAAGGAATCACAGTGACTTTTACTGAGTTCTAGGGAATCACAGTGACTTTTACGTTCTAGGGAATCACAGTGACTTTCCGGGTCCTAGGGACACAGTGACTTTT